TTTTTTGCTCCTCCTTGCTTGGAAAGAGTCTAATTCTGCTTTGTATACATAGCTCCAGCTTTCATTCACTTTGGGAGGAGATTGCCATTTGGGAGGAGATTGTCAAGACAATGGCAGTCAATAGTTTCTACCATTACCTGTAACATTTGGAATATGAACAATTGTCAGTTTTTCAAAAGATAGTGAAATTGAAAAATCATACACGCTAGAGATAACCAGTACTAGAAATGTTATTTTTTGTTGGGTATGGCTCCTTGGGTTAGGATATTTGATCCCAGTCTCAATAGCTTCTCTGTCCCTGGGGCAAAAATTTAATGCTTTTGCTTTCTGAACTAGTCACTATTTATAATATGCATACACTATATTACAATCTTTTTTTTTTTTTTCAACTTTTTATGAGGTGTGCTTATTAAATGAAATGGTAAGTCTGGCACTGGCAAGTCTCTTGTGCACTTTTTTTTTCACATTTCCTTTCTTTTGGCAGGTCCATGAAAAGGGAGTAAGTTTCTGTGGGCTGTGCATGCTTTTCCACCCTTTTTCAGGATTTGTCACATCTCCTGGAAGGCCTTATAACTCACAAAACATGAATTTATATCCAAGCAATTTGCCAAGTCTTGTCAAACCCTAACATTTTTGTTGGCAACTATTTGCATCTCTCGGCTGAAAGGGAGTAACTTAGATCATCCAGACACAATGCTGTTCTTTGGATACCTTTTGATGGTCAACGTGTTAGTTTTGATACATGGTTTAATCTCTGCTTGCATGGGGCCACCCACTATATTTCATGTCCTCACCCAGTGAATCTTTCACGAAGTGAACATTCTGCTTCATCAGCTGATTTTCTAGTTTTACACATCTGCACTTGCAGTTCCACTTCTATATGAAAAAAAAAATGATCTGACAAAAAAAAAAATCTTAAACATTCAATAGATATAATGCTTCATGCTTCTTTCAGATATAGTTCCTTTGTTAGGTGCAGTTGCAGTGCCCTCTACCACCTCTACTACTGTAAGGGAGGCTGTACAATGAGATGAACATGTATTAATTTTTTCAGAAGACAAGTTAATTTTTAGTTTATGTCCATCTTCTTACTGTGATAACCACAAAACTTTGGCTCTTGGGGTGTGGAAGAAGACAGTCATTTAAACCTTTGAGACAGTAGTAAGTTGAAAGGCAAGTTTTTGTTCATTGTAGCTTGTTCAAACAGCTCTGAGAGAGATTTTTTGATGTTTTTAAATGCCTCAAGATGAAATTTATTCTAATCTTTTGCACTCATCAAAATTAGTTGTGATAAAACCAAGAGAATATGGGACATCCTCAGGTAGGACCTGTGAAGACAATATATATTGGTTTGGGTTACTAGCCACATAGATGAGAGAAGTTTTAATAATAGGCAGTGCAACAGATGTGCGATCGCTAAGCCTAGTCCTGCCATATGCTATTTGTTATTAGTCATTCTGGATGCCATCCATCCCTGTACCAGCGCTTGCTGGAAGCATCAATCTGTAGCAGCAAGAGTGAACCGAGGCATATGCACGGAAACAGCTGGGAGGGTCTGCCTATCTCCTCAGCTAGTTCAGAAGAGGGTAATGCGAGAGCCAGGCTACGTTTACATTCACCACCATCTATACATGACCTAGGCCATGCTGGGTCCCACTTAATTGGTATACAGCAAACGAGGAATCCACTTCTGGCAGTTATTTTTAGTCGTTCCTTGTGACATCTTGGGATAGCCATAGAGTCTGACCTTACTCTGAAACGAAGCATTCTTTGCCCTTTAGCACAGTGCTGCTTATATTTATTCCAGGCACAAACGTGTTCACCGGCCTCTGCCTGCATCATATTTTTGAGGGAAAAAGAGGATGGTACATAGTTACGCTCAATCGTACAAGAAACTGGTAGTTAAATTTGCACCCCAGACAGACTCTGTCCTATTTTCTTCCTGTTTGAAAGTAAACACCCTGCCTTCCTATATAGTAGTTCAGTCTTGTGTGTCAGTGGTAGGGGAGAGGAGCAGATGCCTGAGGAGGTGCGTGCACAGAAAGGACAGGCTGCTGCCACCTCAGACCAGAGACACCTCCAGAGAGCAGGGGTAAGGGACAGAAGAAGCAATTTTTACTGGAAGGGAACCATGAATTTTCCTTTCAGTTTGAGGAAAACCTCACTAGCAGTTAAAAAACAAGCTATGCATTTTAAAATTGGGAGTTATTCTAGCAATAAGTCCCTGAATTATGGTAATTGCAAACACTGAGCTGCCTCTCCATCTCTCTCTTTCTCGTTTGTTTTAGCCTCTCCGACACAAAGGAAAAAAAAAAAAAAATCTGTTCTCAGCTGCCCATACATGTTTCTCTAACTGTTCAGTGAGAATTACCAATTGAGATATTCATCTGGTCAGAGCAAGCAAATTGGCAAATCCCCATGCACCCTTGTCGCGCGAGGGCTGAGCCGTCCAGGCGCACAGCAGGAGGCTGGTGGCTCCAGTTGTCCCTGCAGCCCCAGGACCCTGTCATGCCTGAGTGCATGAAGAAGGAAGCTGTTGTGCAACAGAGAGGACAGGGGAAACAATCTACTTGAACAGATTTTATGCTTTGCTCCAGAAAACTGGCCAAAATTCTGATCTGTTTTTGAGAGAAAAAGCTCAAGATATTGCCATGGTAGCAATATTTTAGTTGCCTAAACTAGCTTACTGAGGACCCAAATGGCTTTATTTCCTTGACGTATTTCTAAACTTCAGGGAAAGTGAGTCACATCTAGCTCTCTCTCTCCTTTCTTTTTTTTTTTTTTTTTTGGTGGCAAATCTAATTCTCACTGCCTTCTGCCCCGCTGTGTATGTTGCACTGTATCGCAATCTGATCCCTCGAGGTGCTGAGTGATTCTCTCAGCACCTCGCCATCAGCATCGCCTCTGTGCTCAGCCCTGCATGGTGCTTTATGGATAAGGCCTTGGGTGCTTAAGTTCAAGAGTAGTACCATCATGTCACAGGACTGTTTACTTATTGACATACTGTCCTGCTTTTGAGCATTTTGAGCAAAAAGGCAGAATGCCAGTGCAGCTTTAGAAGCCCAAAATAGGCTAAATATTTCTGATTAAATTTAAAATACTTATTATAAACATGGTGATTATATTTTTCTTTCCAACAGATTCAGCTGTAGCAAAAATTTTATATTAGGTTAGGCAATGTTATGCTTTAACTATTCTCTGTGTGTGTGTAATAGATTTAAAGTATTTATTTTGGTATATGATCCAGAGATTTTGCCCTCTGCATCCCTTTCATTGTTGTGCTGAAGCCAAACAATGAAACTTGTTCTTTTAAAGCCACAATCTCCTTAGTGTTATTTGGAACATAGATTTGTAATAGCTTAATAGAAGGACATCAGTTTCCTTAACAGTCACCTTTTTTTCTTCCTTTTTTTTCTTAGGCATTAAATGCGTCATTTTCCAATGAGAGATACTTTTGCAAAATATCTTTTTGCCAGAAAATGACTGTTAAAACAAGGGATTTTGTGTTCTTTTTGCTATTGTTTTGTTGTTGTTGTTTCCCTATGAATAAGCAACATTTGGTGGAAATGTTTACCAAGTCCAAGATGCAAGATGCCCCTTTTTCTTTTCTTTCTGAGAAAGGCTATATAATAGCAAAGTCATATGACTTTATTACTGTAAATTAAACTGTCATTTGTGTGAGTTATTGCAAATGTGCAATCCAAAGGTAAAGGCTTGTTTGGATTATTATGTATACATGTATTTATACACCACACTTTCAGTTCTCATTTTGGCAAATACAGGCTGGACGGTTAACCTGGATATTTCCAATCCTGGCACTGGGACACATTCTCCCCCTTATGGCAATAGCACATATGGAGTTTTACGAGTCTGCTCTGTCTCTTTATTAATGGGTTTCACCTTTTACCTCAAGTAGCTGAGGATCTTGATTTTAAATCCAGGGTTTTCAGGTCCAGACCTTGTAGTCAACCTAGCCAGAGGTGTTCTTATATGAGCCCAAACCAGTAGCAGAAAAGCCAAGAATCATAGTTTTATTCTTCAGTGTGGTAATTCTTCTTCCATCTTTACTGAATATCAGTATCTCTTTCTAGTTGTTGTGATAATTAGTGAATCTAAAGTATTAACAAGCAGAAATTTTCTATTTCCCAGAGATTGCAGTGTATTTAAGTATATTTATATGGTGGAGAAGGTGTGTCATCTTCAAAAATATGGGCAAATGGATGATTTCTTTGATCCAACAAAAACAGTCACAGAAAGAAAAGGATGCAAAATTCAGGGTGTTGCAAGTTCATTCTCAGAGCTAAGCTGTGGTCTCTTTATTTTACTATTGCCAAGAATTCATGCCAAGTCATTGAGGTTGACCACGTTTTATTACCTCTGTTTTTGCTATTCTACCTTAGTCCTGAGACAAGTGGGAAAATTGTGTCTGAAACTGTCTTTAAACTCTGGACTTCTAGATTGTGCATCTTTAATGAATATTGGATGTGTTCCACTACTGTGTGCTGCTGTCTGGACCTTAGCTTATTAGACACTGTTTTGACATCCATAATTATAACCAGATTTGAGATAGGTGACATGCCTCAGTGTACAAAATTTTATGTCATCCTGATTCAGCTGCTTTTCTAGAGGAAATCATTGAATTCAAAACTAGTATTTAGATACTTTTAGTTTTACTTGTTTTGGCCTTCCCTATCCAAGGTGTGAAAAATGGCAATTTCTATATTTCTGGGAAATTAATTTTCAGGATTGACTTTGGTCCAGTAACCTGAAGTGCTAACATAGTCCATATGTCTGACTAGTGAAGCTTGACTGAAAAGTATGAAAGTTCTAGCAAAAGTCCATTTTTTCTGCTCCTTTTGGTAAATTGCAGGATTCCATTATAATGATGATAATCCATGGTTATTGGTGTCCGAACACTGATCCCCAGTGAAGCTGGGATGAAGGTAAAATGCATGGAATTTGTTCTCTATAGGTGCTGCTTTTCATGCTGAGCAAAAATGCAGTATTTAGAATTTGTTCTCCTGCAGTATTTGTCATCGTTCTACCACTCTCTTAAGATTATAATTCCTGCTCAATATTTTCTTTTTAAACTACCTCTCATTTTAATATATGCTTTGTGTTTTCTTAAAATAAACGCTGTCATGCAGCTCTTCTACTTCCTTTATTGAGAAAACAGTAATACCCATATGATGGTGGAAAAAAATTGAGAGGGAGGGAGAGACAGGGAAAGGAAACAGAAATCATAACCAAAAAGTTCGCACTGATTATTGAAATAGTCAGTGTTCCCTTGGGCTGTGGGGAAGGGAAAGGCACTTTTACAGTGTCTTGGAATATTTTTCTTCTGTACGATTCTGACTTTTCATTGTGTATTTATGCTACAGTGAGAGACGGGAAGAAAAGAAAAAGAACTCAGAGTTTTACAGTAAGTTTTTTCATTATCTTTTGTAGTAACACTTGCTAGTAACAAGTCCTAGGGAATATTAATATTAAGGTTTATAAAACTGTGGTTCTTGACATTCGTGTGTAAAATTATTTAACAAGAACATCATATTAATACTAATGGTTTCTTCTTCTCTGCAAAAAATTTGTAGCTTAAAATGTGCATAGTGTCAGAATGACACTTTTCAATGTAGAATTATTATCCTATTTAGTTCTGTGTTATTACTAGCGGGAAATATTTATGTATTTGTAGAAGGCTTCAGTAAGCCTTAAGTCCAGTTTTTGGGGAGGTGTTTAAATGTAGAAAACAGACAAAAAATACAGTGAAAAACTTCATGGATTAGCTTCTGTACAGTCAGGAGAGACATCATGAAAGCATGGAGCATTTTCCTAGGTTATTGACAGAGAACTGCAATATTTTAATAAATTTTGTCTATCGGAGACTGCTTTTTTCTTTCTGAGCAGACCCACACTCAAATTTATCTGAAATCAATCTTAGGAATTCCATTTATTTCAAATGACTTTGGGTCTTCTGAGGACAAATCACTGGCAAAAATTGTTTCATATTTTGAAGCAAACAAAGGGAGATGCTGTTGTGATTGTGGAGGTGAGTTATAGACAGCCTGCCTAAGAGAGTCAGGCCCCAGGATAGAGAGGGAAAGGGCAGGGCAACTTTTTTGTCTGCAGCAAGGTAGTGGGTACTGTTTGAAAAACTGACTACATTTCTCTGACAGACTAAAAAATATACCATAAAATGTTGTCTGATATTACGGTATAAGTAGCAATAATTTACTGAGCTCCCTTTACCAATAAATAAATAAATAAATAAAATAAAATTACAAAGGCTTCCCCCTACTACTGCCAGATCACTACCTGAATTTGCAATAGTAGCATACTTCTACTCTAAAACTGCTACCAATCTTCTGAATACAAGCAATAACTACATATGGACATGTTTAACAAATCAGAAAGAAAAGATTGATTGCTGGCAAATGTTTTGTCTCCAATTATTTTCTCCATAAAAGCTAGAATTCCAGATAAACAGAGTAACCAAATCCCACTGGTTTATCTGTAAGAATACACTGATTTAGAAATGCTATTAAAACTGCTTATTTGAAAATCACCTAACAGTGAAGACTGAAAGCAACATTTTTTTCATATTGGTCTGCTTTAGGGTCACATTTCAACATTTTGTAGCAGAGTGCCACTGTGAGTAAAATATTTAGTGCTGCTTCCATCAGAACTCTGCATTTTATCTCTATTTCTTTTATCCTCTCTCTTATAAAATGAACGTGATTTTTCATGCCGACAATGCACAAGATGTATTTCTCACATCCAGTATGTATGGCACTTGCTAAATCAGCTCCTGACACACCAGCTAATTTTAATGGGGGAGGCTAAGAGATACACCATTAGTTATTATTTCTAATGTGTTTCTTAATATGAAACTTGTCATTTTCAGCTGTGATGCTGACTCAGCAGTAGGTTTATTTCCAGAATTACTAAAATAACTTTCCTGACAGAGTAGCAAGGGACCCATGATTCACTGGTAGAGAACAGTGAAACAGAAGGAGGCCTTTTTCCATCTACTAATATTAAAAAATAAACTGGTAAGAGTTCATAAAGCAGTCCTGGGGAACTTCTAGGATACAAAAAAAAAAGTGGCAGTAGATCTCATATTTCACAGATGGATTGAACACAACCATATTTTATTTTGGGTTCCATCTTAAATATATAGCTTGCATTATTTTACACATTTAGCCAATGTTGCAAAACAAGATTTAGAGGGATCACTTTTTATTTGCTTATACCTACTTCACATATGTCAGAATCAATCACTTATTTAGACAGATGTTTTCTTACTCATACACTGCAGTAAAGTGACATTTTGTACATGTAAACTTTCTTTTGGTTCACAGCATTTAATGACTGCTCTTTCCCATCCCCAGGTTTTTGGGAATATTCAGGTGATAAATACATGATTCAGAAATTTAGAGTGGTCTGTTTTACAAAATACTTGAAAGCCATTTAATTTCAAATGGAGGCTTTTTTTTCTTCAGGTATTTTTTTCATATTATTATTATTACTATTACTATTACTATTATTCTTATTATTTCTTTTCTGAAAAAGAAGTGCCTTCCATCAGTATTAATAATGTTTTAAGAAATGTCTGTTACTCCTCAGCTAATAAATCAGCATAATGCTTTTGCTAAGAGAATTATATTAATATGTTTCTGTGTGGGCTTGAACAGGTATATGCATACGTACACAAAGACTGCATGTATAAAATGCCCAAATTTGTAAGCACTTATAGAGAAATTAAGATTCTGTGTTTTCTGTTGTCATGAATCTCAGCTAGCATTAACCATGACACCTTTTCTGAGCACCCCAAGTCCTTTTTAAACCAAGGAGAAAAATGGAAAGAAAATCTCTCTTTTTAAAGGGAGCAAGATCCTATGGAATACCTCCACCAGTAAATTTTCATAAAAAGACATAAGCTACTATTCCAAGCTGGAGAAAAGTGATAAAAGACTGCCTTTATCACCACTTCTAGATAAGGCCAGCCAGCATTTCTCCCAAATGATTCCTAAGTTGCACTGATGGCTTAGCTCCTTCCTCTCATCCATTTTAAAGCTATCAGAGCTCTTTGGCACCTATGGGAAGGAGCACTGGGGACATGTGTGTTCCTTAATAGAGGATTCAAGTGAGGGGTCAGATTTCATGGTTTTGGCCTTTCCTCTTAGACCCTGCACAATGCATGCCTGTGAATTCATACCAAGGAGGTGTCTGCTCTTTGGGCTGCCCAGTTAAGCATGGACACGAAGCCCCTTTGCTATGTGGAATATCAGCAAGACACAGATGGTCCTTGTCATGCTGTCCTCCAGCTGTCTTGCTGGTTGGAGACTGCAGCTGGAGACAGAAGCTGATGCTATGAAAGAAAACTCACTGATAAATGTCAAGCTTTATAATACCCTCTTATTTGCCTTCCCTTCTTCCTGATTCCTCACAGCTTGCTATTCTTCTTGTACTCTGAGTATTCCTGAACATACAAACACATGCATATCTCACAATAAATGTTTCTTAACATGTATAGAGAGCACCCTACCTTTCTGGCAAATATAGACATCACTAATGATCAAAACTTTGGATCTTTAAGACATTTTTGTTGGTAGATATGAAAATGCTCTACTTCAAAAGAGCAAAATAAGCAGTTGTTTGGGCTTTAGCATCCTTCCTATTGGTGCTATTCCCCTTACTGCTTCTGTGCTCTCTATTGCCTAGCGGTCAATGCCAACCCAAACTGAAGGCCTGGTGCCCCATAGTGAAATTCTTCAAGCAATTTGCCCAAGTTACCCTCTGCCTTTTCTTAGCCTGCTTTTATAACCCTACATAACACCACTTAGTTGGAATATTACCAAATTTAGTAGCTGAGGCCCTTGCAATCAGAAAAGACCATTAGACTTCTTCAGACATTTTCCCATCCAGAACAAAATGCAGTACCCAGTTTGGATTCAGCCACATGCTTCAGGCTCTTATCCTTCAAAAAGTTTAATAGAATTAAATCCAAACCTTAATGTCTTTAGAAGAAAAAGCAAGTGTAACATATCTTGAATATTAAGGAGATGTCAGAGCTAAGGGTGGACATATATCTTCACAGATGTTCTCTGTAGTGTGTTTATGTTTTCCCTGCCCAAAGCAGCAGACCATCACTGGGGCATCTTCACTAGGAAAGAATATTTTCTTCACTTGCATTAACAAACTACCGGAATCAGGACACTCTGTAACCCTCATATTTATGCATGACAAGTTAACAACGATGGAGTAATTAAGCATTTTTTTTGATGTCTAGTTTCAGCAAATATTTCAAACCATCTTCATAATTAGAACATGGACTCATGTTAATTGACTTAAGGTAGTTGAATAAATTGAGAAGCATGTGTTGCTAATGCACAGAAGACAATGGGGTCACAGTTCAGGCAGGTATAGAGTTTTAAGAAATGGTTAGCCACTGGCTGATTACTTTTAGTAACCAGACACAAAGAGAAGGTGGTTATCACACTGTAGACTCCCCTCTATGGCTATTTATGTCAAATATAAATTACTCAGAGCTAATGTACAGTGCCCACATTGAGGAAAGCAATATCACAGACATAATTTTGTTCATGACTAATTTGTAACCAACACTATTTATTTATTTTTTAGGTGAGTGATGTTAATGACTCCTCTTCACCATTGAAGAGTAAGGGTTCAAATTTGGTTTTACCACCAGCATATTAGGTGATGAAGGCAAAATATTTAATCCTGATGTAGTTTTGTCTGTACAAATATGCTTTCCTACTCCAATGTTATGTTTTATTTATTAAACTTACAGGATTTCAGTGGCAGAACAGGGTCTTACAGTAAATATGCATAAAAGAAAGTGTTCAGAATTGCAGCAAATGCTACTATAATCTGAAAAAAAAATGTGTAAGTGTGCCCTTTCCTTGCATGTTTATCAGCTGCATACTTTACACACAGAAGTTTTTATATTATATATTTGCACAGTGTTTTTCTGTCAGATTATCATTTTGGCAGTCAATTGTTTATACACTTACTACATTAATAGAGGTTCAGAAAGAAAACACTTAGATATGTTCACTGTTATCCCAGGATATTGTGTTCATTTTCTAATAAGTGTCTCTAGTGCACTGGGAGCCCTAATCAATGTAAATATTGTTTAAGATGAACATTGCAGTGGGCATACCATGGAGTCAGACCACCAGCAGAGCATTAAACAAGGACAGATGTGAATGCCAGGATAAAAATGAAGACATTCCTTAAGTGTAAGTATGTTACTTATAATATATCTGTTTATAGGAAATGGCCATGAAAAAAGAAAAAAAAAATCTTCTGGAAAATAAGAATGCCAAATAAAGTCATTATGCTGAGATAATGCAGTTGTATGTTTGCTAAAAGAGCTAACAAAGTGCATGATATTTTGGTATCTTGAATAATTAAGATCTTAGAAACTTAATCTTGTATGAATGTTGTTGTTAACTTCACAAAGGTTTAATCACTTTGGAGATTATCTGTGCAGAAGCAAAATGCATTTTTTAATTTTATATACAATGTTTTCTGTCAGAGATAAAATCTTCTATAAGATTGGAGGGTCTAATTAGGAAAACAGACAAATAGGCTTAGGTTGTCTCACAAGCCATTCTTCAGTTATAAAGCAGAAGTTATGATCTTCAGAGCTAAACCTCTTCTGGTTCTAATTCTTTCAAAATATCATCTGATTCCTACCTCTTGCTTAATGGATTTGCCTTGATTAATTCACTAGCTGCCAATTTTCATGAGCAGCCATACAGCATGTTTTTTTTTAACTTATATTTAAACAGCAGTTTGCTCCTTGCTGGCTTTGTAGTCAGACTACGTTCTATGCTGTCCTGATCTGGAGATTATGGGTGACATTTGCAAAGGATTTGGAGTCCACATCACACTGACTATTAATGGTATTTGTACATTTACTGCCTGAGCTGGCAACAGCACAGTCTGAGCCATATAGGGTAGGCGGGAAGACTGGTGCCCTCTGGGGTGGGCAAGCAGGGATGGGGAAATCCTCTGGTGGAGGGCACTGCCAGGGAGGGAATTCTCCCAGGAGAATTGGGAAGGGAACATATCAAGTGATGGAGAACCAGCGCTAGGGTGGTCTAGAAATAGAGCTCAATACTGCTCAGGAGATGCCCAGAAGGATAGTGCTCGTCCTCCAGGAGAGCACATCTCCGGGAGATGCCCATCTCAGAAGTGCTCGTACATCTGAGACAGATTGTCAGAGTGCTGTCCCCAGAAAAACCCAGAGCCAAAGGTCTCAGCCCCTAGTAGATCACCAAGAGCTGAAACAGCTACTTGCTGGGAGTCCCCAGCGCTGAGCTCTTAGAAGTCCAAAAGCTGTAGCTTTGATCTATATAGCTGTGAATGCAACAGATTAATTTAAGCAAGCCACAGTGTTTGATAGCTGGGTGGATATCAGGTTGTCATTACTGCAGAGTTCTCGGTCAGACCCTAATTTAGCTTCAATATTGATTTCTCAAATAGTAATGGTAGAGAAGCTGTTGGAACTAGCCTATTAGATTACTATCTGAGCCAACACTGATTTCAAACCAAGGTGATTAAACAGCAGTTTGGGATGGGTCAGCAGATTTTATTGTTTATTGTTTCCTATTTTATAGCAAAATCAACTGTGATAGCAGTGTTCTAAAATGCGATTAGCACAAACACTATTGTTGTTTGACATGGCGTATCAGATGTAATGATTTCCATCCCAGTTCTACAGCTTTGCTTTCTTACATTCATGATTGCATAATTGAAAGCAGCAGCTTTATCTTTCCTCTGCCTTTGGTGGAAGTCATTCAATAAATAGTACCAATTACACTACAGCTTACAAATGGTCTGATGTAAAAGGCACTGCATTTACTAGCCCTTGTTCAATGCAAGAATACTCTGTACTGAACCAAGACATTACATTTGCTTTTAAGAAAACAACTGGAAGTATGCAGAGTGCGTGTCAATATTGAAAGCACCATGTAGACTGCAGAAAAATCACTTAATGCCTGAGTTATCATGTATTCTGTATCACCCTGCTGGGTGGTTATTCATGTCAAGTATAGGGTTTAATATTAAGAGCAGTCACTGCACTAAAAGGAAAAATATGTTTACTGCCGTCAGAACTTATTTTGCGTTTGCCCAAAAGCCTACTCTTACAAGCATGGGTTGTTTTGCCAGAATTTAGGGAAAGCAGGACTGAACCCTAAAAATGACTTGCTGTTAGAAAAATAGCCCCCTTTCCTCAAAAACACATACTTATGATTGACTATATGCATGCGAATATTTCCATGACTACAGAAGATATTGATTGGTCCCAGTGGGACTGCTCATGTGTATAAACGCTTGAAGGATCAGGTTCTAATTTTGCTCAATATCAGTGCTAATTGCTGTAGATACTATTGACAAAAACTGAGTTGTCTCTTAGCATGGTAGCTGAGGATGTTCCATGAAGTTTTTTCATGAGGTGATTTATTACACATTCACTTTTTTAAAACAGTCCAAATGCAGGCAGTAACTATTTATACAATTAAATTTAACAACTATGAAATATGTGTTATGGTGCCAGTTTGAAACATATTCCTAATAGCTAGTTTTATATATGATGGACCACCAGGAAGCTGTCATCAGAATAATACTGTGCCTTTTATGCATTCTCCACATTTCTTTTTAGTTAATAGACTGTTTAATAATACTCTAGTCAAAACTGAACAATAGAGATTAATGATTTGATGTAAGAATACTTCAAGGTAAAAATTAAATGTGTATAAATTTCCAGTTGGTGATACGCTGTGAAAAGCTCTCAAGCATGTAACGAAAAGATCAAGAACCATTTTAGAAAAGCACCATATATAGAAAAGGTGTGAAGGGTGTATGTTGTGAAGTATATCACCATGAAAACTTTTTTTTTTCCGTGGGAAAGGTACCATAGAGGAAAAAAAAAAAAAAAAAAAAAAAAAAAAAAAAAGTTTATTCCAGGGAACACATCAGAGATTAAAAAGAGACCAAAAAGTGACCTAACCAGAAAACTATAAATGTGGTGAGAAGGAGAAAAGAAAAAGGAGAAGATACATTTCACTATTTCATTTTTTTTCTCAGTTAATCTTACACATGAAAATTTCTCTGTTGCAGACACCGCATGACACAGCAATGTCACATTTTTCTTTCATGCTCTTGATTTACTGGGCTCATAAAATGTAAGACCAGAAGCTATTCTTAATATGGACTCATTCTACCACTAACACATGCGGGCTGCTTTTTGTCTTCTTGTCAATGCACAAGAACCTCACTCAGTCCATTTGTAAAACAGTATAAATGCTGCCTGCAAAAGAGAAAAACAATTGTATAAGAGGCTGAAACATCGATTCCTGGATTAACAGCTCTCAGCTTGTGTTTGTTTTCCTCAGAGTGATCCCCTGAAAACGCGTTCAGAAGAAGGCAATGGGGGAAACAGAGAAAGTCCGTTTTGAAAGCACCGTTGTGTACGTTGGTAGACAGTTCCACCTCCTGCCAAATCACCAGTGCCGCTGTTTTCAGAATCAGGCAAAGCTCTCCTCCATGTCCAACAGAGCTGGCCAGATATGTGCCAACAGTGCAGGCACGACTCTGCTGCCCTGGCTTCTCTCCACTGGGACACAGCAGCCCTGAGGACTACTGCCTATGCCCAAGGTGCCCAGAGGTATTTTCCCCAAAAGAGCTGAGCAAAATCCCTTGCTATTGAATTATCAGCAAAACACCACAACAGGAATGGGAACAGGAATGGGAACAGGAACAGGAACAGTCTTTATCATGGCTATTGGCTTTGCAGCCACTTCCAGTAGGCAGCACAGGTCCTTTTGGCAGCAGAAGCCAGCTGATACGCTAAACTATGCTAAAGTAGTGTTTAGAGAAATAGTAATTACTAACATCCTCTCCCAGTCAAGCCGACACTAACCAGGCCTACTGCTAGGTGTGTGTATATACATACTCACACTCAATAGATAAATAGATACGTGCATATACCCCAGGAAAAATATCTCTCGGTAAGGTGACTAGGTCTTACTTTAAATCAAGTACTTGACACTAATAAAAACAATGTATTCGGCCATAAGATCTTGCATGCTGACTGGCTGCAGGGTAAGTCGGTATTAAGTAAGTCTTTATTTTCTGTTTTCTCTGTTGTTTGTTCTATATCATAAGTATTCTTTGCATCTTTCCAATCGTTTGTAAACAGACCCTTAAAAATGTAAGCCTATTATATTCTTTGCTTGAAATGAATACAATAGAAGGAAATGCGGTGGAATTTTGGCGAGAATTGCATGCATTCATGTTCCGCGGTTTTAAAATGACCCAAAATACTGACAATTTTACTTGAAGACTATATATCATTACTTCCTTCCTTCTCATAAGGGATTTTACTATGCAAACTGTTTTGTCTGATTTTTTCTAAAGAATTACTTGTAGGAGATAAAATTGTCAAAGATATCCATGTGACTTTGGAGATTACCAAACCGATTAAGGTGCCAAAGTACCTTTGTCAGAGGGACAAAGTCATGTAAATTATTTTGATGTTTTGAAAATTTTATCTTACGCTCTTACCCAACAAATTTCCCTATGATTTTAGAAAGGCTATAAATCAAACCAGCAGCTTATTTATAATGAATATCTACGTACAAAAAAAAAATACTGTTTGATGATTTGATGAAGCAGTTGAATGTTAATTAGGAAGAAAATTCTTACTAGGCCATCTCATTGCCTGAAGCCATTTTTTGCTATTCTTCCTAGTGGAAAAGTCAAGTACTGGAAGTTAACATAAACTGTGCATAAACAAAAGTGTTGATAGCTAACTTAAAGATGCCATAAATATAATTATGCATGTAACATTTATTTCTGGCTGCATTTTTTAGAGTATTGATTTCTGTAGAGAAAATACGGTGAATGATTTTACAAGAACAGAGTTAATTTTATAAAAACATATCTGAGTGAAAATATTTGTTTTTCTGTGGGTTTGATTTTGCTCTCACTAGGTAGTCAGTCCTGCAAGATGCTGAACAGCCAGTCCCAATTTCGGCAAAATGGTTAAATGCACATTTAACTTTAATCCTACCAGTTTTACTGAAATCACAAATTTACTGATGCTAGAAAGAAAATTCAGCAGAGCTGTATTTTAGAAGCAAGAAACTCAATGTTCCTTACAATTTACTCAGAGGAGAGTAAGTGCCCTGCTTTACAGTTAGCATCTGAGTTAATTCCCATCAAAAAGAACTAAAGAACAGTATTTTCCTCCTGTTTTTTTGTTTTGTTTTGTTTTGTTTTTTTTTTTTTTTTTTTTTTTTTTCACGTTTCTTTGCATTTCCAATACAACTTTTCGGGCCTAATTTTGCAAATATTTTTCTACATGAGTAATTCTCCTCCTCTGATAAATACTATTGAATTCACTAGGGCTATATTCAAAAACAGAGTTACTTATCTGGGCAAATGTATGCAAGACAAGGCTGTTAGGCAGCTCCCCATGACAATAGAGAAGAGAAAAATATGCTTGTGGGACTAAGGCCTGGAGGATTGGGCCCATAGCCAGTGACATTATAATATATATTTTTTTTTAATAACAAGGAAAACCCACGCATGAGTGAAACCATATGGAAAACTGAGTTAAGGTGAGGAGGTTTTAAATAATGCTTATTTATCATTTTGAAAGAAAAAAAAAAAATCCTGTTCCTGCCTATTGCATTTAATACTTTAAATGTAGGGACTGATTCTGTGGCCAAAATTCCTCTCCTTGTCAGGGGGGAAATTATCTGCTAGACTACCACAGGATCAGGCCCTGAAATGTCATTGCAAGCTTATTGGCAAAGCTTGCTCCCTTCCACCTCCTTCTTATTTTCTGTTTTTCCTATATCTGTACAGGAAGAAATGAAAAGTTAAGCTAAAATACATTAACTAATATTGGTTTATTAATTGGAGAATTTAACTTATCCCTCTTGCTGTTCATCTGAAATTAATTAAGTGTGTAGAATTACAAGGTGGGTGTACCACAGGCAGCAGTCCAGGCTCAAGTTAATCAAAAGAGCACATGTTGAATGCATACAATTTAGTTAAGGTTAATCCAGTGAAGATGATCCCTCACTGGTCCTAATTACTCTAGGTGATAGATTGTGGAATGAGAAAATAGGAAGGAAGGGAAATTTTGTCCTGCTGGTCTACTAGGATTTTCTAATTAAATTTAGCAGGCTATGTACAAGAGCAAATAGTTTCAATTTAAAGAGAAGACCACACTGCAAGGGTGCTTATCTGACATGAATGTAAGGAGCTTTGAACTAAAATAACTAGGTATGATAATGTAAAAATAGAAAAGTTAAAGCTGGCCATTGTGTCTTTATGTGCTTTCACACATCATGTTTCTGCGAGCTTTGGACTGTTGTGTTGGAATTGTGATGCTGCTATTTATTGCTTGAGTAAAGGCAATGGCACATTAAAACAGGCCTACTATGTTATTTCATTACCATCACTGAAAGACCAAATAGCAGTATGACTGTTAATTTGCCATAAAAATATATTGGTGTTGTGTTAGCTAAAGTCTTTTCATTTAATCTTGTTCATTATGTCAATCCAAGAGAAAACAAAGGTGTTCCTAGGACTCTTTGATTGCATGTTCTATGTTCATTACACCATTAATTTGTGTTTTGTTTTTGTGTGTGTGTGTGTTTATGTGTTTTTTTTCTACCATATTTGTCTTTTTTTTTTTTTTTTCAGCTTTGAAGGAACCTTATGAAAAGTTGTTGGGTTTTGTTTGTTTGTTTGTTTGTTTGTTTGTTTGTTTTATGTGTCTTGATTTTTTTTCCAGGCATATACATGTAAAAGTTGTCAAATAATTTGCCCTATTTTTCAGGTTAGTGATATATTTCTGCTCAAGTGGAGGTATCTGTTTCTGATTTATTAACATTTGATCCCCTAGTTTCCTGCCATTGATCAAGACTAATACTCAGCTCAGCTGATGAGTTTTATATGAAATCTGATATTGCAGGAAAAGAGAAAAGTTAGTACCATTTTTAATATTTTTCTATTTCAAGTTTTCCAAGAGCATAACATGCACACATAACGCCTGACAAAATTGGGCAGTATTTATTCTTACCGGGTTTCCATGGGATAAAAATTTTTGGAAGTGAAACAAGTATTTATCAATAGAACAGATGTTTGCTCGGTGTCATTCACATCCTGTAAACTGTATATACATTTACACCCTACCGCCAAAACATGGTTTCACCCTACTACTGACCGTCTGTCTGCCATTCAATCTCTAGTTAAGTCACGGTCAATAAGGTCAACTCTTTGGCAACATCTGTATTTGATCAGTTCACACAAAATAGGAGCCTTCCTAATGCCTGACTACCCTGAAGTATTTTAAGAGGCAGCGTATTACAATAGTTGATTCACCACTGCTGCAGACTCCGCACTTGGAAGATTTTGCCTCCTCTGAGGAACTGAAATGTGAAGATTAAAATCCTTTCTAGCAAAATAAATCTCTGAAATGAGTGGGTTTAGCAGTCACGTAGTTTCAAGACTGACAAGAAGCATTTAGCAGTTTCTCTCCCTGAGTCCCTTGGTGTAGGGATTTGGATTTGTGATATTTTATATTTTAACCCTGTTCTGCACAAGTTTAAAGCTTAAAGATTGTTTAGGTTGTTGCAGAGATGAGAAATAAAGATGGAGAAAAAAAATATCCATAACAGCAAATGATATTTATCTTCTAGATATTTCCACATTCTGTACAGGCAACAATTTCAACAAATTAGTGTACTTTTCTTCAAATGAGTGAATACAAATTCTTCCTTCAAAGAAAGCAAAGTATTCTGGGTGGAGTCCCAGCACTGCTGAAACCAGGAGGGACAGGATGCGACCACTGTGTTGTTTCAAATTTGGGAGCTACTTTAAAATACAGCATTAGAGCTGTGATTCTGGGCACATTCCTGCTGGTGCCACTTCACTGACATTCTTAGGTTTAGAGCAAATGAGAATAAAATCTGACTTCTCAGAATGGGACTGTGTGACTGATATTATTATTATTATTATTTTGTTTTGTTTTATTGTTTTTGGAGGGGAAAACAAACAAAAAAATTATTCTTGAGAAACTCAAATGACCAAAAAACAGTGGCCTCTGATGCTGTTATGTTTCAACACTACAATATCTGGTGTTGCCAGCAGATGATCATTATTAATAAGGCTGCCAGTACTCTGATTATACTGCTGGTCACCCTTGTTATGTTCAACACCAAGGAAAGCCTGATATGATTTCTAGCTGCTGGCTGTTGCAAAATGGGCAGGGCAGCAAGAGCACAGCAGTATCCTGAAGGCAGCCCCAGGATTTAAAAGGGAATGGTCCTTATGATGGGACCAGGCTGAGCAGTGCCATGGACAAGGGGTCAGCAGAGCTTTTTGGAGCTCACATAACAAGAGGATGACTTTTTAAAGGATTTTAATGATGGGAGTTTAGTGCACACAAGCTGCTGCTGAAAAGTGAACGTTTTTGTTTGTTTTTCAATACTAATCCCCTTTTGTTTACTTTCTGTCAGGCTGAAATATTGATGGAAACATTTCACTGAAAACTATACCAAGGAGCAGTTCAGCTAGATCAAATTGAAGTCACTGGGAAAAGTTGGAATAAGACTTGAAAGCATCTTGAAGCAATGAAATCAATGCATTATCTGATTCTGTTTTCTGTGTGACTTTGCTTCTATCAAAAGCTCTGTAAAATTCAGAAGAAGCTTGTCCAGGGTGCAGGGGTTTTGTTTGTGGGCTGTTGATAAACAGCAAAAAACAAACCAAGCTAAATATTGGGGGTGATGGAATGGCTGATGTGGGCTGCTGTAACTATCCTAGCACAGAGAAAATGTGTTTCAGGTCTTATCCCTCTCATTAGCACTACTTGCATAGCACTGATATAATTTTCCATCTAGTGCTTATTTGTATGGTGTATTAAACATATCTTAGGTTTTCCCACCTTTTTGGTTTGTCCTGTAAATCTGCCTTAATGGTTCTGTTTTAAAAATACAAACTTATTTGTGTTCAGAATTTCTTTATTAGGAATGACTGGGAAATCATTATACCATGACCTTGAGTTTCAGTAACTGACATTTGGAGCATTTAAAAGTTTGGGGAAAGGAAGATTGAGGTCCTCTTCTAATTAGTCAGGGAAAAAATATTGGGGGATTTTCTGTTTAGAGTAAACAGAACGTGGTTTCATTGACTTGGTTGGTGGACTATTACTGAAATATAAGTATTACATGAAATCAGAATTGTAAAGAAAACTGTAGGAGAAAGCACGATGACAAATTAGTTGCAGTCAAGGCAATGGCCATCAAAGCTAAGCATAAGCTAGACTTTTACTTCCCTAAAGCCTGTGCCCAGTTCTGTCCAGGTTAAGCTGGTTGTTGTTTCTGTAACTGATTGCTGCATCAGGCTCCAGGCCCCAAGGGATGAGCTGGGAATGTGCAGAAATCAGATGACTCATCACATAAGAGAGTTCTTTTACTAAATATCCCCAAATTAGTAGTCTAATAAATTAATGCAACTTTCAGTATATAAAATCCACTGAGGTATTGACAAATTATCTTCGGAGAACTTTTTCTTCAAACACTATCAAATTGGCTCTATTGATTTTTTTAAAAGTGACTAAAAAACTGCTAAAAATATACTAATGGGAAATGGACAAACTGTCAGTGTGTGTCATATAGAGGATATTTCCTGTTGTTTTTTTTTTGTTGAATGTTTTCAATAAAGCACAGAGGGAGAGAAAGGATGCTGGACAATTTTAATAACAAAGAGGAAAGTCACAGACAGTCCTATTTTCAGAGCCCTTATTCACATTCATTTGAAGGAGCTGCAACACCAAAGACAGAGGTAATAAAAGTGGAAGTAGGGTGATTAAAAATATGGAGCTGGAGAATAACAGTGACATTCATGGGAAAATGTAACCCAGTACACCCAGGGAAACGTAATTTGAAACACAGACATTCAAAGGGAGGGAGAATCCTAGAAAGCAGCAATGCTGACAGAGACCTCGAGGTCAAATTAGACATGAATTTGCAATATGATACGACAGCATGACCGGCCAGTGCAGTTGTGCTGTACACATAGAGGCATATCTGGGAACGTGAAAGTCATCCTCCTTCCTGATGTGAACCTGAGCACACCAAGACCGGTGTCTCAGCTCACTGGAAAGAAGTGGAAACCCGGGGAGAGTTGAGGAAGGAGAGAGCTGGGTGATGTACAATGCCTATGGGAAGAAATGCAATAAAAACGCCCACTGCACTGAGCACTCTCCTAAGGGTGGTGGCACCAAGTACCTCTGCATTTGATCTGAAATATTTGCAGAAGGCTGAAGTTTACCTTCTTGTTTTGCACAGAACTGCCCTGATGTGAGCTACAAGGCACCTCACTGCCTGAAACTCAGAAAATCAACAGATGTGTTCACTGTGTCCTTAGCCAGCTCCCTGCTCTGACTGGGAGCATGTAGACCCCGTGCTTTGAGAAGGTCTGTCAGGACCTGCAGAATCTTACTCCTACAAAGCAAAGGCACAATCCATGGCTTGGATATTTTTGCTGACTGATGGGAAGAGAGGTGGCTGCTCTCCTTGCAGAAGGTACCCACCTGATCCAAGCACTCACCAGCAAGACGTGAGACATATGCAGCTCTGCCGGAGGAGGTCAGACCTTCTGCCTCAGGACCTTCCCTTTGGACCAAGGCCACACACCCCTTGCTCAGCTGCATTTCAGAGCAGGGGCATGAGGATGAGCCTAGGCACCAGCAAGGCATCCCTGCTCCTGGTACCCATGCCAAAACTGAAATGTATTTCACATTGATGATCTGATGAAACATCATGAGCATGGGGACCAATCCTATGAGCAGAAATAAAAATTCAGGATTGCTCCCTTACACCCTCCAATAATATTTGTTTCATCCAAAAATGGTAGAAAAAGCGTTTAAATTGAGTAAACATTGAAATCTGTACCTCTTGGGAAAACTACATCTAAAACAGCACATCAGTTTGTACCTGTTGATACACATTTTGATACTCTCTGGTCTAATTTAATGACTGTTAGTAGAAGGCAGGTGCATCAGGGTAGCATGCACGACACATCCCACCTTCCCATCTTCCTTACCCTATGTCCCTCCGGTTACTCATTTGCTCTCTTAAAGAGATATACAGAACCCTCCTGAGTGCAAAGGAGGCTCTAAAGCTTGATGCAAAAGTAGGGAGCAGCCTCAAGGGCCAAGGCACAGTCCTTAGTATCCTGCATGGAGAAAAAAAAAAGCAGTTCTCAAAAACGCCTTTTCTTTTGTGTTACCATAAGTTTTAAAAATGTTTGTTTTTCAAAACTGTTCTGTCGAAGAACCAACATGAGAAAGAAAAGCTGTTCAGTACCTTTAATCTAATCTTGCTTTTTACTTTCTGATGTATGTATCTCTACCAGTAGAAGATATTTTGGGTATTATGCAGAACAAATTATATATATATATATATATATATATATATATATATATATCCTTGAAATTTGGCTGGGAGTTATTGTTGCTAACCCAAGACCATGTATGATACTGCAATTGACAGTTTATAAGGTCAAAAGTTTTTCTTCAGTATCACTACAGAGATCTGAAATGTAAGTTTAGAGATGAACAATATAAAATTCTAATACTGTCTATCAAAAATTTTCCATATAGATGTTGCCTATTTGGAAGCACAAATAATATCCATGCGAAGCCAATGAGGTTACCAGAATTCCAAAGCAGGCTACATATTTTAGGTCACTGAGGTCTGACGAGAGGAATTATAGTGGGTTGATTTTCGTTTTATTGCTGTTAATAAGAAAAAACTTAATAGTTCAAAGCCAAGCTGAAGCATGAATAGATTTTTTATGTGCAGCCAAGTTATTAAGATTGTGAAATAATATTCTGTCCATAGATGGCCAATTATGCTAGCACAGACCAAAAAAAAATAGAGTTAGAAACATCTTTTCTTTGCTTGTCCTTGTCTTGCCTTGCCTTGCCTTCCCTTCTCTTCTCTCTCCTCTTACCTTCCTTTCCCTTCCCAAATAATGTTTTTTTTTGCCAGGTCCTCCCTCCAGCTAAATACATTTATGTACAACCCTGGGTGTGACCAAGAGCATAATTTGGCATGAGCTCTGTAAATTACAGATGTTTCTCCACTTACTCAATCTTTCTCCAAGCTCAAGAAAAAGTTAATTAGGTGATGTACATTAAATTCAAAGTTTTCAATGCTGCCTTTTTCCATTGGTGGATGATTTTTATCTGGAGAATATAATAGCTAGTAGACAGAGAGATGAATGGCCAGCTATTACCAGTTTCTACACAAGTGGTATATTCTATGATTGTCTGACAAATTTAATTTGGATAATTCACCAGAAGACTAATTAAAAACCCAAAATAATTTGCACTAGATCCACCAGTTTTAATCTCTGCCTTAGAGATCATATTTCTTTCTGTCAAGCGACAGTATTTAACTAAATTAAATGAAATCCCACTCCATTACTGCTGAACTGAAGAAACCTTAGCCTAGTTTATTTTTCTGTTATGCAGGCAGAGTCCTAACTTGGCTGTACAATGCCTGTTCTGGAAAATGAAGTCCAGAAACTCTCCAAATAACATTTTGCCCTGAGCTTGAGCTGCTCAAATACAACAGAGAAGCAGAAAGGAATGGGGGAGGGAGATTACAGGTCCCTAGCACTTCCCAAGGGCTATGCTAAGACAAGCTCATTACTTCCCAGATGGATGCAAAGGCATAAATGAGAGTTGTTGTGAGAAATGTTGTGAGCACTAGTAATTCTTTTTGCTTTTTCAGGCACCTAAGACCTAGACCTGCAGATTATGTGACCCTTTTGGCTTGGTTCCCCATGCATGCAGGTTTGCAATCATGGCTTTTTTAGCTGCTATCCTAACTGCCGAGTCTCCTGCTAATTGCCATGGTACCCTCAATGCCATCTTCTGCAAATTACCCTGCGTGGACTGCCCTGCCTGTGCCCTTTTGACTTTAATGAGCTGCTGCAGAGGGATAAAGGTCACACCTCACGGAGTGGTCACAAGGGCTTGTGAGTTTGGGGTTTTTCCTTCTTTGGTTGCCAGGAAGGCAGGAGACTATGACTGTGGAAGCCATGTGATGGGCTGGATGTGATGTATCATCTTTCATCAAACAAGTGAGGAAACTTCTCTCTAATGCCAGAAACATAGCATTAATTAAAGAGAGCATCTTTTTAATTTAATTTCACCCTTCACAAAATGGGAATAAGATACCCACCATAATGTTGTTGATATGAATGTTAATTCTCTAATACCTGCAAAGGGCTTTCAGAGCCTCATTTAGAAAGTTTTAGGGATGCTGCAGTTGTTTTACTTCAGTCCTGTGCTTATTAGCTAGAGGAATTTTTCTTCTTTCTTGTATCATCCTACGTACAAACAGCATCTTAAGGAAAAAGAACATGAAAAGTTTTAAAATAAAAATCTCATTGCTTTAGAGCTGTTCTCAAGACTTTCAAGCCCATGTCAGGGT